GACCGTGCCAGGACAAGAAATGCAAAACCTGCCAACACATCTCCACCACCCCCACTATTACTACACCCCACAACAGAACCATCAGCATCCCTGTATCTTACAGCTGCACCTCCAGGAATGTAGTATACCTCATCCAATGCACCAAATGCCCTGATGGAAAATACGTAGGAGAGATCAAACAACAACTGCGCACCAGAATGAACGCACACCGGAAATCCATCAAAGACAGGAATATCCTGTAGGGGCACATTTCTTACAAGAAAACCACTCTCCAATCTCTCAGTCCTGATCCTCAAGGGAAACTTACAAAACACTTCCCAGAGACGAGCCTATGAACTCCACTTCATCAACCTCCTGGACACTAAAAATCATGGACTAAATATAGACATTGGATTTATGACGCATTATAAGCTGCCTGACATCTGACTCCCCAGGTATCTCTCCACTTTCATCCCCCTTCTCTCTCTTCCTGTCCCCCCCTCAGCCTGTCTCTCACCCATTGACCCCTCAATCTACATTTTCACTGACTATCTGTCTTGTATGCATCCCGGCCCAGCCTCTGGCTTCTTTACTTTTCATTCCAACCAGGAAGAGCACACACCAACTGCTGAAACTTCCTTAGCCTGACGAAGGGTTTTTGAACCCGAAAGCTTGCTTAATAATTGTTTTCCAACTATTTAAGTTGGTCTAATAAAAGATATCAGATTCACCCAAAGAACCTTGTCTGCCTATGTCCTTAGACCAACACGGCTACAACCTACACCCCTGTAAGATGGAAGATGAGCTCATGGAGAACTGCAAAGAGGCATGATATGGGCTCAGAAAATTATCTCTGCAGCAACATTCTGAATGGATATGAATAGGCAAGACTGCATTTATCAAGGCCAGGGAAGAGGATAGTAGACATCATCTATTTATTTGGTTTTCTGCTGCTTTGATTCTTCAAGAATAGCACATACAGGAAAGATTGCTTTTGTTTTATCTGTTTTAGGGAGATCTGCTGAGAGAAGTTTTGCCCTTCACAAAATACTCTGCTACTCCTTTGACAGCCTTGTGCACAGACCTCTCTGTGAGAATGCTTTTGGCTGGCAGCAAGGGTAAGCATTTCAGTCACCATCATGACAATTTGTAGGGATTGAAAATGATATATTTTAAAAACATACTGGGAATATGAAAATGAAGAACCAAAGCCTGCCATTATTTCTTTAAGCAAAACTCCTATTAAAATAATTGTAAAAAGAGTTTTCTGGAGGAAAAGTGAATATAGTATCTACTACAAGACTGCTTGCTTACAATAGTAGTAGAACAAAATACTTTTGTTTACACAAATAACTATTATTTACTTTCCATCCAAAATGACTCATTCTAGATTATGGAAAAAATTCTCGGTAAGAACAAGCAAAACTCATGCATTGTGTATAATAGCCTCCGGGCAAGTGGCTACATATATGCAAAATATTCATGGATATGGACATATAGGTTACGTTCAGACGAGCACAGATGCGCGGTTTGTGGCACCACAAACATGTCTGCAGCGCCCCATACTGCATTTTAGATGTTCTCCATTCTGCAAGGGAGTGCAGAAAGGTCAGCCAATGTGAAATAAATAATCAGAGAAAGGTCTACTAGCAAAGGCATTAGCAATGTTTTTCCTTTCATATCATTGTACACCTATCAAGCCATTATACTACATGGTTGCGTCCAGATGACCGTGGCCATCAATGTGGTCCCTATTTTTAAGAAGGGGAGGAAGGTGGATCCAGGCAACTATAGGCAAGTCAGTCTCACCTCCATCCTTGGCAAAGTCTTTGAAAAAATTATCAAGGCTCACATTTGTAAGAGCCCGGCAGGACAAATTATGCTGAGGGGAAACCAGCACGGGTTCGTGGCAGGCAGATCGTGCCTGACCAATCTAGTTTCTTTTTATGACCAGGTTACAAAACGCCTGGACACAGGAGGAGGGGTGGATGTCGTATACTTAGACTTCAGGAAGGCCTTCGATACGGTATCCCACCCCATACTGGTGAACAAGTTAAGAGGCTGTGACTTGGATGACTACACAGTCCGGTGGGTGGCGAATTGGCTAGAGGGTCGCACCAGAGAGTCATGGTGGATGGGTCGGTTTCGACCTGGAAGGGTGTGGGAAGTGGGGTCCCACAGGGTTCGGTCCGTGGACCGATACTCTTTAATGTCTTCATCAGTGACTTGGACGAGGGAGTGAAATGTACTCTGTCCAAGTTTGCAGATGACACAAAGCTATGGGGAGATGTGGACACGCCGGAGGGCAGGGAACAGCTGCAAGCAGATCTGGACAGGTTGGACAAGTGGGCAAAAAACAACAGAATGCAGTTCAACAAGGAGAAATGCAAAGTGCTGCACCTAGGGAGGAAAAATGTCCAGCACACCTACAGCCTAGGGAATGACCTGCTGGGTGGCACGGAAGTGGAAAGGGATCTTGGAGTCCTAGTGGACTCCAAGATGAACATGAGTCAGCAGTGTGACGAAGCCATCAAAAAAGCCAATGGCACTTTATCGTGCATCAGCAGATGCATGACGAATAGGTCCAAGGAGGTGATACTTCCCCTCTATCGGGCGCTGGTCAGACCGCAGTTGGAGTACTGCGTGCAATTCTGGGCGCCGCACTTCAAGAGGGATGCGGATAACCTGGAGAGGGTTCAGAGAAGGGCCACTCGTATGGTTAAGGGCCTTCAGACCAAGCCCTATGAGGAGAGACTAGAGAAACTGGATCTATTCAGCCTCCGCAAGAGAAGGTTGAGAGGCGACCTTGTGGCTGCCTATAAGTTCATCACGGGGGCACAGAAGGGAATTGGTGAGTATTTATTCACCAAGGCACCCCCGGGGGTTACAAGAAATAATGGCCACAAGCTAGCAGAGAGCACATTTAGATTGGACATTAAGAAGAACTTCTTCTCAGTTAGAGTGGCCAGGGTCTGGAACGGGCTCCCAAGGGAGGTGGTGCTCTCCCCTACCCTGGGGGTCTTCAAGAGGAGGTTAGATGAGTATCTAGCTGGGGTCATCAAGACCCAGCACTGTTTCCTGCTTATGCAGGGGGTCGGACTCGATGATCTATAGAGGTCCCTTCCGACCCTAACATCTATGAATCTATGAATCACCCATTGCTAGACCACCTAGCTTGCTTTTGCAAACCTGCTTGCTAGTATCATCATCTCCTTATTTGGGGTTATTCACTTTTCTCTCCACCCAAGCCCACAGCTCTTGAGAGTAGGTTGCCCAAGAGTGACTACTCAAAGGCCGCCTACCTTCTAGTGGAAAAGAGTGCAGGTTATAAAGAGGAGATCAGGGTGTTAATGAAAGAGAAGGAACTATAAAGCAAGAACTGGAGTAGGGGACAATGTAGGGATACAGGGTCACTGTTCCTCATTTCTCCCTCAGCTTGGTCTCTGTCTCACAAGACCACACTAAAAGGGGTACGATTTTGCTTCCTTACTGTTTGTACTATTAATCCAACTTTGTGCATTATACCAGAAACTAAGAATAGTTTCATCCCTATGAAACTTGCATGTTTGGCTTATAGTAACTTCCCTGAGTGGGTGGCTCTCTTTTAGAAATGTTTAAAAAAATTCGTATATGGTTTTAACAATTTAAATCTATATAATTCAAGAATGATTCTTAATAAATAGGGTATGGACCTACCTGCATTCCCTGTTAATATGCAGTCTAATATTTTCTCCTGTATATTTGCAAGTGAAATTGATATTACTCTAAAAGCTAACTTTCATTGCTCGTAACTTTAACTTCCTTCTGAAGTTTTGAACTTATTAAGGCCCCTTCCAGTAGGTTAATAGCAATAAAGAACTTTTTTTATGTATTTTTTTTATTTTTTTATATATATATATATATATAGAAGGACATATTATGTGCTGGGATATTGGCTCATTTCTGGAAGATCCAGAAGATAGTAACAAGGTAAGAAGTGATCTTGTGACTTTTATGCAGAAAAATGTATTATTCAGTGCAAGAGGATGAGAAATATAAGATGAGAGGGGGCCACTCGCATGGTCAAGGGGCAGTGGGGCAGGCCCTACGAAGAGAGGCTAAAGGGCCTGAACCTATTCGGCCTCCACAAGAGAAGGCTGAGAGGGGATCTGGTGGCTGTTTACAAACTCACCAGGGGGGACCAGTGAGAATTGGGGGAGGCTCTGTTTCCCCGGGCACCACCCGGGGTTACTAGGAATAACAGCCACAGATTGTAAGAGAGAAAGTTCAGGCTGGACATCAGGAGACATTACTTTACAGGCTCTGGAATGGGCTCCCAAGTGAGGTGGTTCTGTCTCTTGCCTTGGGGGTCTTCAAGAGGAGGCTGGACAGATATTTGGCTGGAGTGATATGACCCCAGCACCCGTTCCTACCCGGGGCAGGGGTTGGACCTGATGATCTGTTTAGGTCCCTTCCGACCCCAAGCGCTATGATACTATAAATTTACGTTTCAATTTACTTGAGAGCAGTTCAGTCGGGTTTCTTCATGTGCACTAAAAATAAGTTAGTACCTTTGGCCTGAACAATCTATTACTTACTAGAAAAACAAGAGTAAATTATATTTTTCCATTCTGGTAGGTGGAATTTATTACAGATAAATTTATCCCCAATAGTCATGCAATGTTTCAACTGTACACTATCTTCAGCATGTTTTATAGGATTATTATAAACACACTTCTTTGGAACCTGCAGACTGCCTCATTGAGGTTGATGCTAAAAATGGATAGAGATTCAAGAAAAAGAGGCCATTGTGACAATAACAGTAGTGGAGTATATAACAAACTGACCCATGGTCAATCGTATTTGTTTTTTTGTTTTTTCTCACCAGCAAGTAAAGCAGCAACTTTTCTGGAGAGCTCATTCTACCAAGGTAGTCAGCTTATTCTATGAAAAGGAGAAAAAAGTGGTGGTAACAGCCTCTGTGGATGGTTCTGTCAGGTATAGATATGGCTGATACTTATTAATCATAGACTCATAGAATCATAAAAAATAAGGGTTGGAAAGGACCTCAGGATGTCATCTAGTCCAACCCCCTGCTCAAAGCAGGACCATCTCCAACTAGATTATCCCAGCCAAGGCTTTGTTTAGCCAGGTCTTAAAAACCTCCAGGGAGGGAGATTCCATAACCATATTAATGGTTCCCTGCCAGCCAGGGCTGTATTGCCCTGGCTCAATGTGCTGTAGTCCTGGCTGCATGTTTAAACACTGCACATGTAGATGCCCCCACTGCCACCTTAGCTGAAAGTTATTAACACTAAGCTTTAGTAAGCTTTAGGAGGAAGACCTATCCACTTCGTGTTAACTGTTTTTCAGTGACTTGAACAGAGTGGAACAGGATCACAACCAAGTGCCTAAGTCCACTATATAGAAGGAAGTTGTGGAATTCCCCACACTGGAGGTTTTCAAGAAGAAGCTAGATGGTTATCTGTCTAGGATGTTTTAGGAGCAGCGAGTTCTGCATTTGTGCAGATTTTGGACTTCATACCTCCCAACCTTATGATTCTATAACTTCTAACCTGCTATACAAGTTGAACATAGTAAAGTAAATTTCAAGGCTTTGTTTTAAACAAATCAACAAAATTGAGGAAATTCAATGTCTGTAAAGTGGAAACATCTTGCTATGGAATAACTAGTTTGTAGTCTTATCTCTTCATGCCCAGATTTTCAATGTGTTAGATTTCTGATAGATTTAACCTTAACTCTGCATTGCTTATATCTTTAATTATTTCTTTAATGATTACAACATTCTTCCAAGGTATGTTTGGCCTTAAATTAGTCTCAAACTTCTCTCCATTGTTCCAGTCTTCAATAGCATACTACACTGCAGACTTATATACAATTATTTAATGCTGTTCTAAAAACATTTTTTTTTCATTTTCTTTCAGTTTCTAAATGTATCTACTTTTCCCCCTCTTCCCTTCTGTCTTTTCCCCACAATCTTTCCAGGCTCTGGCATGCAACCAATGGACACTATTTTGGTTATTTGGGACAGCCCAGGGTGTTTGAATTATCAGAACCCAGTGATTTGATTTTGCCCTGTGATATTAATGAATTTCCTACCATAATAAAAGAAAGCAACAAATACATGGAAATGAAACAGACGTTTGAATATCCTCTAGTACTGGACAGGGAAAAGTAAGATCATATATCTATAGATCTTTCTATATTTACATACTATTTGGGAGTAACAAGTAGCACACAAACTGAGCACCTTTCATCTCAGATTATATACTTTTGCAAACACAACCCTACAACACTTTGTATGTAATACCATCATTTTAGGAATGAGTAAATTTAGGAACAGTGAATAAGTAATTTACCAAAGGTTTATATGAAGACAAAGGCAGAGCCAGGACTAGAGACTAGATTCCAAGAATTCTGAGTACCCAATAATGATGTCAGAGCACTGGATTTAATGACACTGAGGAGGCTGGGAATCTGTTTGTATCTCAGTCCTGCAAGATAAGATTCCTAATCAGAATGTATTGGAGCATGTGTATAGGCACCCTCATCCCCGAAATACTGTACTTCTGTTATGTTTAAGAGTGCTGTAACTTTACAGTGCTGTAAAAAGAGCTCTAAATTACAGCACTGTAAAATGTGCACAGACCGCTTCTGTATACACTGTAGAGCCTGCTAAGCTTAAAGGGAGAATATAAGGCTGCTTCTGCCGTATTGGATACATATTTTAAGGACATGTCTGATACCAGTAAAGAAGGACTTAATCCTGTAATTGTAAAATAGTATAATGTTAAATCAAACTGGAAGCAGCACAGACTGTAGAGCCCACTGGTCATGGCTTTAATCAGCAACCAACACTAAGAAAAGATAGCCACATGCTGTGCTATCTCAGATTAGAGTGATCATCTGATAGTGACAATTTGTAAAATACGTTGTAGTAATTTGCTTTTTCTGATTATCTGTGGTGTTTTGATTATTTTTATAATTGCTATTCTTCAGTGGTTATGCTAATATTCAAAACAGTTTCAATCAATAAATTCAAATAAAGGTATTGATGCAAGGAAGAGATGTTCTTCATATGCTCTTGCATATAAAAAGGATCCAGACATGGCTGATATGAGCAGATATATGGATTTGAAATGAATGTCTGGGCTGGATTCCAATACGAAGTAAATAGCTGTGGCCCCACTCATGTGATGAATAGTTTCAGGGTATAGCATTCTGTGAAAAAAAATCTCAGTTCTTCCCAGTAGGATGTAGATCCTTAGTGTAAATTTTCATAGCTGCACTGATTATAGATGGAGCTATATTGGTTTATGACAATGGATGTTCTAGTCCTTGATCTATTCTTTTTTGTGAACTGAGCTCACCTTGAAGAGTCATTATGATGCAATAAATTAGGGCTCAGTTTTGGTAGCTGCTGTTCCATACATAGATAGATAGATTACATTAAGTATTTGATAAAAATCATGACATATTCTTTCATTAACATTTTAATCAATCTAGCTACTGGCTTGTCATCTTCAAGGGTGTAAGTAGTTTATATTATACTAGTTGAACCCGCGCTTCTCTGTGTAAGACTAATTTGATTTTTTGATTTTTTATAACCTTTGATCATAATCATCATCACTTTTTGATTTATGCATCATTGCCTATTCCAACTTCAAAAGTGGGGCATGACTTTGGCCAGCGCTGCACATCGCAGCGAGGGGCACAGCCTCCGCATGGCTGCCTGTGTTACCCATGCTCCCTACCACTCACGTGCAGTCCCTGCACTCACATAGCAGGGAGGGAAGCCCCATGTGCTAGAGCCAGGTGCTTTCCCTGCCAGGGCTGCACAGCACCAGAAAGAAACTTCAGGACCTACCTGGAGCTATCTGCCTTCCCTCCTGTGCAGCACAGCCCCTGCAGGGAAGGCAGCCAGCTCCAGAGCCTGAGGCTTCTCTCTTGTGCTGGGCAGCCCCGGCAGGGAAGACACCTGGCTCCAGCATGTGGGGCTTCCCTCCCTGCTGTGCAAGTGCAGGGAATGCACATGAGTGGCAGGGAGCCCCAAAGATACAGGCAGCCAAACGGAGGCTGTGCCCCTCACTGTGATGTGCAGCGCTGGCCGGAGCTGCGCCCCACTGGGCACCTGCGCCCTGAGCACCCACCTGCTGCTGTGCCACACCCCCACAACCTCACCCCCGCCCCTGCCCCCCACCCCCGACATATACACAAGCCCCCAACATACTCTATGCCCCCCCACATACAACCACATCCCCTCGCAAACCCCACACACACATCCTACCACATACCCACACCCCCCACACACTCCACCATACACATCCACCACACACACACGCATCACATACACCACACATACATACCCCCCCACACACACACCACACACACCCATACTACACATACCACACACACACACACACACACACACACATACCATGAATACCACACACACACATACCATGCACACACCATATACCCCCCAATACCACACGCACATACTTTCCCCCCACAATGTACAAAACTAAGAATTTTGTTTGAGTGATTATGCAATCCCCTCTATATACATTACACAAATACAAATCATGACAAAAATATTTTTTGTAATCAAATTAAAATATGTTCTAGTAGGTATTTGACTTTTAGTGTATGATTTGGTTTTTTTCTGGTTCCAAGGTGGCAACTCCCCCTCCCAAAAGGAGTATTTCTGGGAGGCAAGGGGAAGGACTTCCAGTGGCAAAGATCAGAGGTTAGGGGGTGGGACTTCCGGTCCCAAAGTGGCAACAAGGGGGCAGGGCAAGTGTCACGGAGCAGGACTACCCATGCAGCCCTCGACAGCTCACCAAAACTTGTTAAGCGGCCCTCCGTCCAAAATAATTGCCTGCCTCTGGCTTAGGCCAACAGATCAGGCCTCCAGAATGAGAGATTTAATGTATATAGATTTCTGAATTATAGTATATATAATATGAACTACATACACTCTTGAACATGACAAGCCAGTAGCTAGACTGATTCAAATGTTAATGAAATAATGTGTCATGATTTTTATCAAATACTTAATATAATCTATAGGCTGCAGAGATATGGAAATTCAAATAACTGTATTTGCAAGCTACTTAACTGTGTGATATTGCATGTTGTAATCTACTTGGGACGTCAATTTTGTATCCTCCCATTCTCTTGTGCATAGATGGAAATCACTGACCAGATCATCATTAATTATAAGGAAGCCTAGACCTGCTGAAGTGGATCGGGATTTCAAGTTTTTCAAAGCCCTCGCTTCTCCTAAGGTAGTTAGGATAGCAACTCATTTGTATCTGTTTTGTGCAATGTACTAATTGATATTTACATTTAGCAAATAGCCAAGGGACAATGTAGAGAGCTTGTTCTGTGACAAAACATAATTCTTTTGGTGCAAAGAACAGACACAAAAACTTTGCTAAACAGTGATTCATGAAAAACTCTTGGGTTTCAGTTCTAATGGTGTCACATGTCCACATTTCAGCTCAGAAGGCAATTTCAACTGACTGTCCTTAACTTGCATTGACACTATAGAAAGCTCAAAATTTCACCTGGCTCCAGTGTTAACCCTAAGTATCCCAGGGTTAGTTGGAAGGTGCACAAGAACAATGGGAAATCTCTCTTGTTATGCTGATTTCAGTGAAATATAAAATTAGGAAAATTACATCAATTTGGATTTTACTGTGAACATTTTCAATGACTCTGGATAATGGAAATGCATTACACATTCTCCTTTACCTGGTGTGCCACATGCCACATTTGGGCCAGACTGATTTGTATCAGGAAAAGTGTACTAGAAAGGAAAAAAAAAGAAAAAGTACCAACTAGCTAAGTATGTGACCTCTGACCACATGGGCTCGTTTCAGCCTCTCTGTGAGTGGCATTCCTATCCTCCAGTGGGAGGATGATGGACAGCAAGTCAGGGATGGGA